GTGAAAACCTTATGAACAGCAGTGAAACACGGTCTGATATATTAGTGGAAAACTTAATGAATAGCCCTGAAACACTGTCCAATATACTGCTGGAACATGAGACCATCAGGTCGGAAGTGACTCCAAATTTGACTGGGGAAGAGCTGACTTCTCAAAGTAGAGACCACCTTAATGATATGGATAGAGTAAAGCTTTCAGGATCTCCACTGGCTGATGTGGCAAGACTCAAAATGAGTAGAAACAGATGCAAACAACCATTAATAACTGGAACATGGAATGTATGAAGTATGAATCTAGGATAATTGGAAGTTGTCAAAAATGAAATGGAATTGCATAAAGATCAATATCCTAGGCATTAGTGAGCTGAAAAGGACCAGTTTTGACAATTCTGAATCAGACAACCATATGATCTACTATGCCAGGAATGACAATTTGGAGAGGAATGGTATGGCATTCATCGTCACAAAGAGTGTTTCAAGATCTGTCCTGAAGTACAGTGCTGTCAGTGATAGGATAATATCCATATGCCTACAAGGAAGACCAGTTAATACTACTATTATTCAAATTTACACACCAACCACCAAAGCCAAAGATAAAGAAATTGAAGATTTCTACCAACTTCTGCAGTCTGAAATTGACCGAACATGCAATCAGGATGTGTTGATAATCACTGGTGACTGGAATGCAAAAGTTGGAAACAAAAAAAAAAGTTACCGGTAGTTGGAAAATATGGCCTTGTGATAGAAATAATGCTATGGATCACATGATAGAATTTTGCAAGACCAATGACTTACTCATTGCAATACCTTTTTTCAACAACATAAGCAACAACTATACACGTGGACTTCGCCACATGGAATACACAGGAATCAGACTGACAACCTCTGTGGCAAGAAGCAATAGCGAAGTTCAATATCTTCGGCCAAAACAAGGCCAAGAGCTGATTGTGGAACAGACCATCAACTGCTAATACACAAGTTCAAGCTGAAGTTGAAGACAACTAAAACAAGTCCATGACAGCCAAAATATGACCTTGATAATATCACTCCTGAATTTAGAGACCATTTAAAAAACAGATTTGATGCACTGAACATCAATGACCGAAAACCCTAAGAATTGTGGGATGACATCAAGAACATCATCTATGAAGAAACCAAGAGGTCATTAAAAAAACAAGAAAGGAAGAAAAGACCAAAATGGATGTCAGAAGAGACTGTGAAACTTGTCCTTGAGTGGAGAGCAGCTAAAGCAAATGGAAGACATGACAAGATAAAAGAGCTGAACAGAAGATTTCAAAGAGCAGCGCTATCAGACAAAGCCAATTACTATCATGAAATGTGAAAAGACCTGGAGTTGGAAAAACAAAAGGGAAGAACACACTCGGCATTTCTCAAGCTGAAAAAACTGAGGAAAAAATTTAAGCCTCAAGTTGCAATATTGAAAGATTGTATCGGCAAAATATTGAATGATGCAGGAAGCATCAAAAGAAGATGGAAGGAATACAAAGAGTCACTGTACCAAAAAGAATTGGTTGATCTTCACCTATTTCAGGAGGTGGGTATGATCAAGAAGCAATGGTATCAAAGGAAGAAGTCAAAGCTGCACTGAGGGAACTGTCGAAGAAGAAGGCTCCAAGAATTGACAGAATACCCACTGAAATGTTTCAACAAACGGATGCCCCACTGGAGGCACTCACTTGGCTATGCCAAGAGATCTGGAAGACAGCTACCTGGCCAACTGACTGGAAGAGATCAATATTTGTACCTATTCCAAAGAAAGGTAATCCTACAGACCATGGACATTATCAAACAATATCATTAATATCACATGCAAGTAAAATCTTACTGAAGACAATTCAAAAATGGATGCAGCAGTATACTGACAGAAAGTTTCCAGAAATGTAAGCTGGATTCAGAAGAGGACATGGAATGAGGGGTATTACTGCTGATGTCAGATGGATCTTAGCTAAAAGCAAAGAATACCAGAAAGATACTTAATTATGTTTTATTGACTATGCAAAAGCATTCAATTGTGCAGATCATAACAAATTATGGATAACATTGAGAAGAATGGGAATTCCAGAACACTTGATTTTACTCATAAAGAATCTGTACACAGATCAGGAGGCTGTCGTTCAAACAGAACAAGGGGATACTGCATGGTTCAAAATCAAGAAAGGAGTGCACCAAGGTTGTATCCTTTCACCATACTTACTCAACTTGTATCCTGACCAAATAATTCAAGAAGCTAGATTATAAGAAGAACATGGCATCAGAATTGGAGAAAGACTCATTAACAACCTGTGATACACAGATGACACAACTTTGCTTGCTGAAAGTGAGGATGACTTAAAGTACTTACTGATGACGATTAAAGACTACAGTTTGCAATATGGATTATACCTCATTATAAAGAAAACAAAAATCCTCACAACTGGACCAATAAGCAGCATCACCATAATTGAAGACTGAGGTTGTCAAGGATTTCATATTACTTGGTTCTACAACCAAAACCAATGGAAACAGCAGACAAGACCATCAGACGACATATTGCATTGGGCAAATCAGCTGCAAAAGACCTCTTTCAAGTGCTGAAGAGCAAAGATGTCTCCTTGAAGACTAAGGTGCACGTAATCCAAGCCACAGTATTTTCAATTGCCTCTTATGCATGTGAGAGCTAGACAATGAATAAAGAAGACCGAAGAAGTGATGCTTTTGAGTTGTGGTGTTGCAAAAGGATGCTAAGAGTACCATGGTCTGCTAAAAGGACTAACAAATCTGTCCTGGAAGAAGTGTACCTGGAATGCTCCTAGGAGGCAAGAATGGCCAGACTTTGTCTCACTTACTTTGGTCATGTTATCAAAAGGAACCACTCCCTGGAGAAGGATATAATGCTTGGTAAAGTGGAGGGTCAACAGAAAGAGAAGGCCCTCAACGAGGCAAATAGACACAGTGGCTGCAATGATGGGCTCAGGTATAGCAAGGATTGTGAGGCTGGCACAAGACCAGGCAGTGTTTCATTCTGCTGTGCATAAGGTTGTTATGAATCAGAGACAACTCAACAGCACCTAACAACAACAATGATCCTGGAGCTCAAGTGGCATAATGGATAAGGCACTAGACTGCTAACTGGAAGGTCAGTAGTTCAAATCCACCAGCTGCTCCGCAGAAAGAAGACTGGGCAATCTACCGTAAAGATTTATAGCCTCGGTAACCCAATGGGGTCACTATGAGTCAAAATCAACTCGATGGAAGTGAGTTTGTTTTTTTGAGTAAAGATCCTGAACATCTTTTCACATGCTTATTTACTATCTCAGTATCTTCTTTGGTAAAGTATCTGTTTAAATATTTTGCCCATATTTTAATTGAGTTATTTTCTTATTACTGAGTTGTAAGAATTCTTTAGAATCTTTAGTCTTTCATCATGTATACATTTTGCAAATATTTTCTCCCAGTCTGTGGCTTGCCTTTTAATTTTTATAAAAGTCTTCTGAAAAACAAAAGTTTTAAATTTTAATGACATCTAAATTATGAGTTTGTTTTCTTTTATATAAAGTTGATGCTTTTTGTGTCCTATTTGAAAAATCTTTGCCAAACCTAAAGTTTTTCTCCTATGGTCTCTTCTAGAAGTTCTGGAGGCTTACGTTTGTTTTTTTTTGTTGTTGTTGTTTTTTGTTTTTGTTTTTTTTGCAGTGTTCTCTCTCCTTCCCTCCCATCTCTGGTAACGAACAAAAAAAGTTTCTTCTACATGTAAGGAAACTTTCTTTGTTGGTTATTAGAGACTTAGTTTTACATTTAGATCTGTGATACATCTTAATTTTAATACATGCTACAAGGAATGAATCAAAGTTTATTTTTTACATATGCATATCGAGTTGCTCCAGTACCATTTGTTATAAAGACTATCCTGTCCTTCATAGAATTGCCTTGGCACCTTTTTCAAAAATCAGTTGACTGCATACATGTGGGTCTGTATCTAGTATGTCTATTTATTCCTTTGATGTATTTGTCTAATTTTATACCACCAAAATACTGTCTTTACTTACTGTAATTTTATTAAATCTTGAAAAGTAGTATAAGTCCTACAATTTTGTTCTTTTTAAGATTATTTTGGCTATCCTAGGTCCTTTGCATTTTCATATAAATTATAGAACCAATTATTAATTTCTTTCACACACACATACTAAAAAGGCCTATTAGCATTTTTATTGGAAAATGCTATGGATTGTACTGAATCTATAGACCAACTTGGTGAAAACTAGTATTCATATAACACTGAGTCTATGTGCACACACTCCTAGGCTAGAACCTCCAGAGAAATCAATGTTGACTACAAGTCAAAACTGATATCTTTGCCTTCTTAGCACTTGATCCCTCATGATTCACAGGAACAATGATCTTAAACCACAGATAAGAAATAGGTATTTAGTTTACACTAAAAGCAGGAACATTTACCTAAGGCTCATTTATTTTCAACATATACATGAACTGCTTCTCGATAAATATAAGACAAAATCATTTCAGTCTTGCCTTTAATAAAACTAAAACAATGCCATGATACTTAGAATACTTATCAAGCCACTTGGTAGAAAGTACACAATATACTAATAACTAAAAGGGACAGAAGTAAATCAATGGTTTATGATAAAATTTAACAGAAACCCCAATTTCCTACTAGGTGGTGGTTGTTGTTGCTGTTATGTGCCGTTGAGTCGGACCCAACTCACAGCAACCCTTCCTTGGGTTTCCAAGGCAGTATTACTATGGAAATAGATGGCCCAACCTTCCTTCTGAGGAGAGGCTGGTGGGTTTGAGCCACCAGCCTTCTGGTTAGCAGTCACGTGCTTTTAGGCACTATGCTACCAGAGCTCCTTATACTAGATACCACTGCTTTTTATCCAGAGTTATATGCTGAAAAGAACTACCTTACAAATTGAAATATGCATATAAATGATTGATCTATTTAAACAAACAAACAAACAAAAAAAAAAACTAACATACCCACAATAAAAGGCAGCCATAAGCATACAGGTCTGAACTTGGAGAAGGAGGTTTTCCCATTTTCAACTCAGGTGATATCAAACTTAAATCACCAACCATCATGTTCACTGAGGTACGCTGACTCTACAAAAACAGTATGTTAAATATTTTAGAGACAACATAATTGAGTTGGCTTTTTGTGAAGTTCTCTGCATTCAATCCACACACAAAAAAAGGCAAATTTATTTGAAATAATTTTGTTTTGAATGAAATTATTTTACATATAAATTTTATGAATAATTTTAATGAAAAAAAAAATCATTCTCTTGCTCTCAATATTTTAGCTAAATTTCTGCTATTCTAAATTACTCTTAAGTATCAGTCTCATAAAATAAATACTGAGACTATCATTATATTTATAATATAGATTAGGTAGAATCAAACCAACCATTGACTATTTGATTTGGTACTGTCATTTTTTTTAAAAAAAAACAAATCTTCTAAGGGCAAGTGACCATGCTATTTTCTAAGTCCAAATAATGAAATTTCAAAATTCTAAATTAAAAGATACTGAAATTCTACAAAGTATTTTCCTTCCTTACTGATCCTTTCCTAAATATACCATTTCAAAAATGTCACAGGATGTTCAACGATTAGAATATGAACCCTGAGTTCAGACAGATCTTGGCTACACCCCTAATTTCCCACTTATTTGTTGTGTGACCTTGGGTTTTAACTTTTTTGAACTTTAATTAATTCTTTAAAAGAAAATAACATCTACTTTATAGAGTTATTGAATTATAAAAGTAATTAGCACAATGCCTAGCACACAGCAGATGTATCAGTAAGTATTATCTTTTTTCCAAATCTATCTTGACTCTTGCTTCACAAAGTGTGGTCCCAAGACCAGCAGCCATGGGTATCACCTGGGAGCTTGTTAGAAATGCAGCATCTCCATCCCAGAAAAGCTGAATAAAAATTTACATTTTAACAAGAACCCCAGGTGATTCTTATGCCCTTTAATATTTGAAAAGCAATGATGTTGACTACAAACTACTTTCCAAATATCTCTTCTTTGTTAATATTCACTTCAATCTGAAAGTGGTGTGAAAAAAATGGAACATAAGGTAAATTTAATTACTATTTCAAATTAGATCATTTTAATGTTCTGGAGATAACAACAGCTGACAAATTAGTATAAAGGAGGAAGAGTAATTCTTAGAGTAATAATGTGTCTACAGCTATGTAAATGATATGCTCAAAAGTTAAACAAACAAGAATTTCCCTAAAAGCGGAGGATTTTTTGAAACTCATAATTTAGTTATCTTCCTTAGGCTGTCCTCTTAATTTTCAAATAAATTAATGTAGTCAGATAAATATTACAGCAAATCTATTTTGTATAAATCCTGCATATTCCAGTATTTGATTACAGCTTTATATTTTCACTTTCTCATTTTGAAACACCTTATGAAAACTATTGAGTTTACATACACACAAGTGGTATTATCCTATGACTTATAGATGACAAAGTATAAAGCATGTCAAAAGAGAATTGCTTGGACAACAAGAGCAAAAGGTGACCAAGAATGTGGAGAACTGGAACCCTCATACGTTTCTGGTGGGAATGTAAAATGCTGCAGAATAAAATAAAATGCTGCCCACGTAAAAACTGGTACATGAATCTTCACAACCTATTATTCACAATAATCAAAAAGTAGAAACCACTAAGATATCCATCAGCTGACAGATAAACTGTGGCATATCCATATGAAGAAATATTATTCAACCACAAAAAGGAATAAAATTCTGATACATTCTACAACACAGGTAAACACTGAAAACAGTATGATAAGTGAAAGCAGCTTATCATAAAAAGCCACATATTGTATGATTCCACTTATATCAAATGTCAAAAACAGGTGTCAAATCCATAGAAATATGGAACCATAGTGGTTTCCAGGGACTGCAGGCAAAAGAGAATGAGTAATGATTCCAAACAGGTAAGGGGTTTGTTTAGGGGTGATAAAAATGTTCTTGAATTAAACAGTGGTGATCAATGTACAGCTTTGTGAATATACTTCAAACCACTGAATTATATACTTTAAAAGTCAACTTTATGGTATGTGAATATTACCTCAATAAAGATATTCTTTTTTAAAAAAAGGAAGTGCTCTCCTATGATCATGTAAGACTATATATTTTACCAATTAAAAAAATTACAAGATTTAATTGTCTTTACTTGTCTGATCTTTGCTCTCTCTATAGAATGTCTGTTCCGAGTTAATATGGCACCAAATTAATAGCCAGTTAGACAGAAAAGTCCAAGTTTCCTAAGTGAGGATTTTAAGAATACCCATTATTAATCAAAACATAGTTAAGTATGTATTTCTAAATTTAATCTGGGGGTAAGAGGGAAGGCATACCAGTAGAGGAGGGTATTGAGATGGCTACCTAGTTTTCCTTGCATTTCCTAGCAATTTCTTGATGACGATAAAAAAAAAAAAAAAAATTGATTAATGTAGGTAATGTCCTTGACTGTAACATTAGGTTGCTACTAAAACTTAGTTAAAAAATACAATGCTGGTTACCAGATAATTGCTTGCACCATGACATACCTTAGCCAAGAAAAAGACCCTATCATAGACTGTCATATCATGTATAAGTAAACTACTGCCTAATACTACTAAATGAAGTCTAGAACCTATTTTTAAATGCTATTTTACCACAGATTTGGTGAAGTCAAAATCTCCAACAATTCCTTGTTCACGGTTTAAAGCAAATACATTGTTCTGATGAAGTGATCCATGAATTATGTCAGCCTTGTGCAATGTATGCAGACCCTGGGCAACACCTTTCATGACCTTTAAAATCTCCTACAAGTAAGTACATACAAAAGAGATCAAGAAGTAGGAAAATAATTTTAATACTTGAACTAACTCTCTAATTAAAAGACTGTTCCAAAAGTGAGTAACGCTTCCTCCACAATTAATCTTTAATAGGAATACAACATAAAGGAAGAATTGCAAGTTGGATGAAGTCCTGATTATGAAAATAGTGGCATGGTGCCTAAGGCATTTGACTACTAACCAAAAGGTTGGCAGTTCAAACCCACCAACCACTCCACAGAAGGAAGACTGGGCAATCTACTTCCATAAAGATTCCATCTCAAAGACCCAAAGAAGGTCACTATGAGTCAGAATTGACTCGATAGCAGTGAGTATACACACACACACACACACACGTACATTCATACATACTTACATATATATATATATATATATATATGTATATATACATACACACACATACCTATATATATATATATATATACACACATATATATATATATATATATATATATATATATATATATACATACACACACACACACTCTATTGTGTCTAAGATTTAAATTGAAAAAAATGACCATGTAAATTAAAAAAAATGGAAATAGTGTTACTAGTTAGGAAAAGCCAAGGCCTCTTCTATTACTAATACTAACCCTAAATGAGGTAGTTGTCATCAAGTCATAGTGACTCCACGCATGTTAGAGCACAACTGTGCTCTGTAAGGTTTGCAATAGCTGATTGTTTAGAAACAGATCACCAGCCTCTTCTTCCAAGGTACCTCTGGGTGGACTCTAACCCTGTTTTTAGGTTAGGAGCCATGCATGTTAACCATTTATACTACCCAGGGATTCCAAGCAGCCGCTTAAGCACTTATAAGACCAAGTACTATGCTAGGCAATTTACATACATTACAGCTTAATAGTTCTAAGTATGGGCTTTGGAACCAGAGAGACAAGCTTTGGAATCAGAGACTTGAGTTCAAGTCCCAACTCCACCCTCTGGCTACAAGTCACTTAATCCCTCTAAACTTAATTTTTCTCATCTGCAAAATGGAATAATTCACATCACAAAGTTGATATGACAACAACGCAAATCAAAATTTTTGCACAGTTTATAACGTGTGGAATAAAATATGCCCTCAATAAATATTAGGTGTTATTTTCTCATTTAATATATCCATGGAAATAGTGTTTTTTACTTACTTCTGAAGTTAAAGGCATACTGGCTTGAATAGCACTCAGGTTTGCCCTGGGATAGTATGGGACCATCAGATAAGCCATAGGATCAGACTAATAAGCAAAACAGATGAATACAAAATGTGACTTAAAAGTGAAAAAGTCTTCAACGTACTTTTACTATATATTGATTTCTACAAGACACTTTTTGCTTTATGTCACTTTTTGCTTTATGTCAAAAGGATTGAGTTATTGCTTTAAAATTTATTATAAATAAAATGTGTTCTGCAAAAGGTTGGCATATGAACTTTACCTTACACAAAAACAGGAATATCAATGGTAGTAACCCAGATTCTTCTTCAGCTTCTCTCCAAGCTCTGTGATAAGCTGCCGCTCTATGAATCACCTTGGCTTCTGTGTCAACATCCACAGAATAGCCCTAGTACCAAAAGAAACAGAATTGGTAACTCCAAGATTAAAATTACTATGCTAATTCCATCATTCCAACTTAAACATAAAAATGATTTTCATATAAAACATGTAAATTATATCTAATTTTATCTTTTAATTTTATAAGTATTGAGTCTTCCATCTACTCTGGATACTGTAATAAGGCAAGGGAAGAACAATTCTACCTATAGGTTAGCCACTATGGCCAAATTAATTATCTTATTATCACAATTAACAGTTTCTCAGTTCAGTGAAGAAATCAAGGAGTATTACACTGTATTGGCAAAGAAATTGAGATTTCAAAGAGAAAAGCAAGAACTTTAAAAAAAAAAAAGAAGAAGAAAAGAAAGAGAACAGAATTTAATAGGGTTTACCCTAAAAATGAAAGCAAATACATCCTATTAAACCATGTATTATTTAGGGAAACTTTAAACTCAAAAGTAGTTCCGGCAACCACATTGGATACACAATCATCATGCCAGTAAACTCAGATACTTTTAGCAAACAAAAAGTGAGTTTTTACTTTGCTATACTTCTGAATCTCTCACAAAACACAACAACTTACCTTTAAAAGAATCATCTGCCCATTAACCTCAGAACATACCAGAGGCCGCTTGCTGCTAAGTTCCTTCATGGGCTCAGCATCAAGAAGATCTCGTTCCAAGCTCATGGTAAGAAGACCATCAGAGTTCTAGACACAAGTTTTTGTTACAGTTGAACAATCTAAATAATCCAAGCACTTTTAAATCATCTAATTAATTAGTTAAATGTTATTAAACAGATTGGACATCATCAAGTCTATAGGGGAAACTAATAAAATAAAAATATTTAAAGGTTTATATTTTTTCCAGTTTCTGGCCTCCCATCCAAAGTGTAATCACCACACATTCATTTAATTGCTGCTACAGATCTAGAACAGATTCTGGAGACGACTGGGACTACCTCACACATGCTTCTGAGGAAACCCTGAAATTTACTTGAAAAAGTCGTATGTTTTCTAATATTAAAATGAAAAAAAAAAGTTGCTGTACAATGGGAATGAGATCTTTAAAAATTAGGACTACTATGTAAACCTCTGCCACTGTTTTAAATGGGGTCCTCAAAAGTGAAAATAGCTTTCATATATTTTGATTCTACTAGATATTCCTCGGAAGGAAGGTTGGGCAATCTACTTCCATAGTGATACTGCCTCGAAAACCCAAGGAGGGGTCGCTATGAGTCGGATCCGACTCGACAGCACATAATAACAACAACAACAGATACTCCTGCTCTTTGTTAAAAGGAATAATTTTTACACTACAATCAGATAGTCAACATGTTAAATCAAGTTAAGTTTTATTGTATGGTAAGTAGTTTTAGCAAGAGGGTTGTGGGAATATTTTATGAGTTTTATTAAGGTGTTGTCCATATAATTAATCCACCATATTATATAATCAGTGCCTATAAAGAATAATTTCTAAACATAAAGTACAATTAAACATCTTAAAGGCTTTCATAAACCATGATTTAAACCTTTTTGTAATACTGTGCAATAAAGTAGAATGGCATATTTTCAAAAAAAATCTTTAATTTGCAAGTCCTATATATTCACTATATAAGACTTACAAAATTTCTACATAAGTCTGTAGAGTTTCAAGACACTATTTTCACCCATACAACATGACATAGTCACTAAAAGCCAGAATTAATTAATTCCCAAGGAAAAACATCATTTTAAAGTCTAGTCTTGAAAGACCTTACAGTAATGCTTAACAATTTAAGAGACTTTAATCTTACATATTTATAATAATAAAATCACGTCTACATCAATATCCCCTTCTGTAATACATTCTAAGTTATCTCTATGGATTTAATGGCAGTTGTAAAGAATATCTCAAAAAA